CAGGTGCACTTTATTTCATATACAATGGAAACTCTGTCCTGAAATCTGAATGACTTTCTCAAAAATTAGTGGCACGGGCTAGGATAAGTATCATGTGCTGAGTAAATGTATAAAGTGATTCTCATGTAAAGGATGTCTTTGGAAGTGGTTCCTTAGCCTTGCATTTGGTTGTCGTTTCATTTGCTATCCTTTACTGATACAGAATGTACATAAAATCATTTAAAGCAGGGATGTGATATAGTTGGGGGGGGCGAGGGGGGCGACACTTAATATATTTTTAAAAGAATTGACGTTCTGATAATACTGTAGAAGCATAAATATGGTGTCTACATTCTGCATTGTTTCTGTATCTGTGACCCAAAGACTGCAAATTAGTTACCTAATGTTCCCTGAAGAGCTAAGTAAAGTCATATGAATGTACATTTACATCATGTGTGCTTTGGCATCTACTATGGTTCTGGCCCCAGTGAGAAGAGGTTGAAGATTAATCTGCAGAAATTCATCTCTTTCATTGACTTGCTCAGGAGCAATGTATGCTATATGTAATAATGTTTTTTATTTGGATTTTCTTCTCAGTTGGAAAATCTTATGCTGGATAAAGATGGACACATAAAAATAACAGACTTTGGACTGTGTAAGGAAGGCATCAAGGATGGAGCAACAATGAAGACTTTCTGTGGCACTCCAGAGTATCTTGCACCAGAGGTAAGTTTATGTTGGCTGTTGTACTAAATTATCTTCTTAAATTCCGTCCGTGATAGTAGTAGCGATACAGACTAATTCCTGTGCCATAATGTGTTCATACAGTAACTGCTGTTACATAACAACACATACTGAGAAACTTTTATTGATCATGTTTTGGGACATATTTTTAGCATAATGATATATGTGATAATTTTTGAGTGATATCTTCCTTCTGCTTTAGGGAATATTTACATTTTATTGGAACAGTACTTGCTTCTCATGTCAGAAACCTAATTTAAAAAAAAAAAAATCACTTCAAATACTACTTGATGGATTGGTCACTGTTTTGCCATTTGTTTTCTGTGCGTTAGCCTATTTGAAGGATATCAACAGGACTTGTAAGAAGTAAATGTATCGTCCGGTTCTTTCTCTCTGTGAAGACGGTATGAGGCGACATGTTTTCAGAAACAGGACAGGCTAAGCTTTTTCTGCAATATTTACCATGTTATGCATTAAAAGTGCCGACTGTTTTGTGACTGTAGGAGCACGAGATGTTTCTTAATATTAATTGGAACTTTTCAGTTTCAGAGGAAATAAATCCAAGCAAGAGATCTCAGTCCCCAAACTATATGTTTTGGGGATTTTTTTTTTTTTTTTGCTACTATTTTTTTTTTTTTAAGTGTAAAACGCAAATGTGTGCTTGCGACTTTCATCCTGGAAATACTCCTCTTGAGTTGTGCAACGCAGGTGGTGTTACAGCCGTGAGTTAGTTATGGGCAGATCAAAAGTGAAATTGTGTGATAGAGGATATATGTATACATGGTATTTTGCAGGCAGACGCTAGTTTTCTCTGCCCACGCACTGAGCTGTCAGGAAGCAGACTCGCTGTATTAGTAGGGCACCAAGCCTGAGCTAACATGGTGTGTGTGCCTCGCAGAAGGGCTCGTTGCCTTGCAGTGGGTGCTTTGCTACCCGTGGTGTTAAGGCTTCCATCCTGCTTGGAGCACAGGCAGAAGCAAGTCTCGAAATGCCGGCAGATTATACATTGTTGGCGCAGCCAGGATGTAGCCTTTCTCCGAGGTGAGAGACTTGGGCACTGCAAACCTTTCTTGAAGTATGCACAAGTACAAAGTATGGAAACCAAAGTGGAGGAGGAATATTTCTACTGAGAGCTGATGGCTTTGCTGATCAGCGCTTTTGCACTCTCGGCTTGCATAGCCGTGGCAGTGTGCTCTGGTTTTTTGTTTGTTTTTGTTTGTTGTTTTTTTTTTTAACTCCCAGCTGCTTTCAAGGGCCTCCAGTGTCTTCGTAATAATGAAGAACGTGGGCACCTGTCGAAGTAGCTTGCAGCAAGGAGGTGGAGCCAGTCTCATGATAGCTGCCAGCTCTCGATGGATCACCAGAAATCTTCAGTGAATCTAAATTGGGGTTCATGCACCACAATTTCAGATTTACTGATGCAGGCAGTAATTTGCAGCACAACAGTGTGTTTATTATTCATAAGCACGGCTTTTATTTTAGCTTCCCTCTTAAAATCAATTGCTGAACTTCAGTTTCTCATCAAGGATTTTATGAGGAGACTAAAAATATTTATTGTTTGTTTTTGTTTTTTCCTAACTTGGAATGTGGGGATTCCCTGTGCACGTGTTATGTTGTTCTTTCTGTTATATTATTTGCTATTATTTTTCTTTTTAATATTTATGCTGAGTTCGCTCATCCAAAACCCTGAAGGACAAATCCTTTTGATTAACCTAGCTCTCTCCCTTACTTGCAAATCCCATCTGTGAGTTGAGTGTTAAATTCTGGAGGCTTTTGTCATCTGGTCGATAGCATGCAAAAAATCTGGAAATTGTGCGCCAGTGATATTCCATGTGTTTAAGGTCATACCTCCTTAAAAGCAGGGGTCTTAATCTTCTCCTCTGTGTTTGTAACTTGAATCCGGCATAGCGGCATGTTTGTACAGTTGTTACATCGTTGTTTTTAGGTTCATACTGGAATCTTGTGCATGGATGACAGTGACTGAACCATGTCAACTTTGATGTGTCAGATGCATCGATGGCTGTGATGTTTACAGCTGTTGTGCCTTCTCTTTCAAATTCCATCTCACAGCAGTCTAGAGCTGCTCATTAGGAAATGATGATCCTTTAATTTAAGTGGAATGACCTTGTTCCTTTACTGCTCCCCAGCTATTTTGTGTGTTGCAGTAAATCATGGATGAGTGCAATACCTTTTTTGTTACGGTGTATTTCTGATACTAACACCGTTGGTCTGTTTTGTGCAATCACTAATGCGAGTGTATGCTCGTTGTGATAAAGAACTTTGAAGAAATGAGCATTTTATATTCTGTTTAGAATTAATGGAGGTGAAGGAAAGAGTTGTAGCTAGTAATCTAGATTATAATATAGAGTATTAATACACTTAAGTAACATTTGAAGTATTTGCTGCATTTTGAAAGCACCTGTAGCATTTATTACATACACAACAAAGGCTTCTGGTTTTGTTTTTGTTTCAGTTTTCTCCTAGTGCATCTCTTGCAGCAGTTTAAAAAAAAAAAAAAAATAAAAATCAGAGGCCCTGTGACTGTTTTATTTTCGGTAACCCAAGTGTAGGGGAGTGCGAACAGGAAGCGCTTACTGAACAGGGTGACTCAGAGTGGTAACTGCATTGTCACACAATATCTCCTGTGAGCTGAAGGGCTGCGATGCCTCAGGAAGGACGGGGCCGGCTTCTGGAATCCTGTCTGGCCGGCAGCTGTGCCGGCCGTATACATATACGGGGCAGCTGCAGAGCCAGCTGTCGTTTGGTGTGAATCATACGGCAGGGGATGCTGTAAATAGACCAACGTGGGGTAATCTAATACCTGGCAGCCTTTTGATTTTTACTGCAGGCCCTTTCCCTCGTTCAGATAATTAAGGGGAATAATTAGTGAATAAAGAGAGGCAGGGTGCAAACAGTTGTTACATAGAGTGTCTTGATGCTTCTGTTTGTGTGCAAAACCTTTATCAAGGTTTGTAAGAGGTTCACATCCTGCTTTTGTTAAACTTGTCGGCTTCGTTTGCCTCTTTCACCGTTTTGAGTGTAAAATATTCTGAATTGTAGCAATGTAAAGCTCACGCAGACGCCGTGCAACAATAAAACACAATGGTGATGCGGTCATAGTTTGTGCCCTTACAAAGAGTAAACAGTTCAGTGCAGAATCATGAAGAGAGTAAAGATGACAACTAAAACCTGAGGACAGGATCCTGGAACATGAGACTGTTGGTGTCAGCTACAGACAACTGCATAGGAGACACGAAGTCTAGAGAAGTCCTCGTAACATCCACTCTGCAAGCCACAAAACACTCCCCACTCCCTTCAGCAACCTCCAGTGCAGAACATCAAAAATGAACTGCAACAGGGCTTCTCCGGAGCAAGCAGGAGAGATGGAGGGCACTGCTGGGGTCCCAAGACCTTGCACCAGCTGGGGCTCTGTTAGATAGAAGCGCCCAGGGGAAGGCAAAAATGAACTGTGGTGGATTCCTTCTGCTGTGAGACCTGGCAGATGTCTACCCCACTGACAGTTCTGGGTTTGCAGCCCTCTAAGCAGAGGCAGGAGTGATAGAGCCAGTGAGCAAGTGCCTTTGGAAGAGGGGCCGAGGGGAGAAGAGAAAACATTTCCAGACAATTTGGCTGCCGTTTTATGGTCTTACAGCCGGTCAAATGTTAGGAGTGGCATTCTGGCTCTTAGTGTTTAATGTGGATTAGTCGTTTAGTATTTGTGGGTGGTCTTTCAGAATGCCCAGAACCACCCTTTGGGGGGGTGCAGGTTGATAAGAAAATGATGGGGTTGTTTGGCTTGTCACTTGTGAGGTAACAGGTTGACAGTCTTTTCTCCCTCTACTGACTCCTTAGTGGTTTGGATTTTTTTTTTAAAAATGAGATCCCATTTGGATCAGTTTGTGACAAATATGTGAGAATTTTAACAGCTGGCTCTATAATGTGAGAACAGTTCTCAGCCTTTGGGCTTTCAAAGGTGGTGCTTATCGTGGTCGTAATGTGAAAGAGTGGGAGAAAGAGGAGAAGGAAGCTGCCACAATGTTCCCGCTGCCTCATTTTCCCCTCCTCTTTGTGTAGCACAGTGATCGTAAATGCCGATTCTTTTCAGAGGGATCTTCTGCAGATACTCTGCTGGTAGATTTGGCTGTGAATTGTGAAAAGATGACCTTGCTGGGGTAAATTTTGCTTCTTGAATGCTATGCTAATGCCTGGTTTGGGAATGTCTTCTAAAGCCTTTTCCTTTCTGCAGGTGCTGGAAGATAATGACTATGGTCGTGCAGTGGACTGGTGGGGTTTAGGAGTTGTGATGTATGAAATGATGTGTGGCCGACTCCCTTTCTACAATCAGGACCATGAAAAGCTCTTTGAACTCATCCTTATGGAGGAGATTAGATTTCCACGCACTTTGTCACCTGAAGCAAAATCTCTCTTGTCAGGTTTGCTGAAGAAAGATCCTAAGCAAAGGTGAGACTGTTGCTTAGTAGTTGTATTTGTAAGCACCCATGCTTTCAGAAATGCTAAAATAAAAACAAATCAAGAAAAAGCCCCAAAACTCTGCTAAAGCCTTTACAAAGAAGTTAATAATTGTGCTATGCAGAGGTGTGTCTATGAAAGGGATCTCTGACAAGTAACTTAACAATGACTGTTTCTGTGCTGCAATATGAAAGGCCTGTATTGCCATCGTTGCAAAACGATTGAAAATTATACTGCATAGAGGGCTATTGAATGCATACGTGCTAGCTGTTTTTCTTTAAGTAAACTTGAGGAGGGTATTTCAGACGAAATCGTAGTTTCGTCTCTAATCAAAGTCATTCAAAGTCATCATCTACCAAGATGCAGCAAGTGGACCTGCTCATTTTTGGTTTGGCTGTTGACGTGAGCTGAGACCGCATATAGTGACCGGAATTAGCTTTGGTGATCAGAAGACTGAACTTCAGACTATGATGGCTGCCATTAGCAAGTTAACCCTGCCTGTGGTTGTAGCGAATCCAGTGGCTGCTGTGGGCTATAAGCTGCTCTACATGGAATGCTTTCACCTTCTGTCCCAGTTCAGGCTCCTGCCTGTTTTCTGAATTTTTGGTTAAATCTGTGCCAGGGATTAGCAACCTGCTTTGGACAGTAGGTGGTGGTGTTAGTACCATGTTTGTAGTGGAGTTCATACCATGCTTAATCTACTTTTCCTATTTTGTCCTTTTGGAGTTTTTTTGGCTATGCTGTACTATTTAAAAAGTAACCCTTGATTTAAAAACAGAAAACAAAACAAAACAAAAACCCTGAAACCCTTGATGGCTAACAAACACAAAATAGAACAAGATCCGAAAAGGATGTTGACCTTCACACAAAGATAAACATCAGTTTAAAAACCTGCCATCTTGTCAACCCAGACATTTTTAAAACAAATAATATTGTGACTTTGCCCCTGGTCTCTTGTCCTGAACCTTCCACCATAAATGGGCCCCAAACAGGAAATCTTTCATGTGAGGTGCAAGCACAGTATTCCGGTTTGCTTTCTGATGTTTGTTTAGTCTGCCTGTGTGCATGCACATAGCAGGAAAATGGTTTTTGCCAATACATGGATGCTTGTAGCAAGGGTTTTTGTCAGCACTGTAGGCTATTTCCATTCACCATTTTTGATGGAAAAATCCTGTTGAGAGGTCTCGTATTGCAAATCCACAGTTTGTACTACCAGAGGATTCAACTTCGTGGTGACATGGGGAACTGTGAACAGTTGTAGTCAGGAACATGGCCAGCCTTGTACTAGGTGGCAACAGCTGCACACCCCTCCAGAACCCGGCGGGAACTGCAAGGGGACCTCCAGGAGAAGGTTGTGTAATTGATTAGCAGCCCCCCGAGGCACTGTGCTCTTCGAGCGTGTTTGCAGCCCCTGCCAACAGGATTCTTGTCCAGGAAAATGCTGAGTTAAATACAATTGTGACCCTTTTGAAGCTTATTCAGGTGGGGCCTTTCAGTCACTGGAAACACAAGCAGCATCTGCTGTAATTTGTTCTTAAAGGAGCATCTCTGATGAACCAAAATGCAATTTGTTTACAAACAAAAAACGCCCACTTGTTTCTAATTACAAGGTTTTCCCAATGCCAATAATTACTCCACAATATGCTCATTTTATACAAATAGCCACTTCTTCACATGTATCTTCTGCAGGCTTGGAACCGACGATGCTCTGATCTGTTGGACAGATGATTTTCATGCTGCTGATAGAAGTAACTATAGACTAGACAAGCCTGCACACATGCCCGCAGCTTGCTAATTACACTGGTGCTTCCCAAGTTTTTTGGATCATGGACCATTCTTAAATACTGGTTTCTCACCAATGACTAGCTTTTTAACTGAAGTTGTGATTCTGCAAATCCCCTGCACTTTGTGGTGTTTCAGGCAGTACGGAGAACTGAGCTGGAAGGCGCTAGGGGTAGAAGTCCTGAGTCCTGGCCTTGTAGTTTTATTTTCTTTTTGCTGTGTGGTCTGTGTGCTGGGGTGGGCGCCTGGCATACTTGGTAGTTGACTCATAGTGAGTTTATGGAGCCATATTGAAGAAAAACAACCAGATAGCTGTGAAAATACATTCAGTGAAAAGTTAAAAAACGTGCGATAGTCTGGTTCTCCGTAGCCTGTTGATGATGCTTTGGGGAACCACTGTGTAACTCAACAGAAATCCCTTCTTCCATGCAAAGCCCAGTGGTGGACAGAAGTTGGTGTCATCATAATGTCCAGCAGAAGACATCAGAATTGGCAGCATTTAGTAACTGCTGATGAACTTCAGAGTGGGACAGAGGAGATGGCCAAAGCCATGAGAAAAAAAAATGGGGAGATGTTGTCCCTTCTCATAAAATCTTAAAAAAAAAAAAAAAACAAAAAAAAACCCAACAATGACAAATGTTGATATATTGAAGCTCAAGAGATGAGAATATTTTAAGTTCAGTATCAAGGTGCTAGAGAATTGTGATCTGTGTCAGTGAATTAAATCTTAAAAATTACCTATTGTACCTGAGCTGATGTAGAGAAGCAATCTGAGCGCTCTACATTCATTAATCCAGCTCAGTCTCCAACTCACAGGCATATGGGGAAAATATGAAGAACAATAAAGTGCATTCTGCTTTTAATCATGGCTGTTTTCTAAATTTGGTCATATAAAATCCATTTTGTAAGAGAAAAGGAATTTTGAAGTTTCTTTTGGGATTGCTATAAGTTTATTAATCTTGTAATGTGAGCCCTAACTTTCCTAAGAAGGAAAAAATCTATTCTGTAACTATTTCCTTTTAAGTGACCTGAAATTCTCCTTTGCTGCTTTGTGACATGTGTCAGATGGAAGGAGGTAATCAGCATTTTTTCACACGTAAAACAGCAAAGTTTTTAACTTATGTTACTCTTTCTCTGGCTGTGGAGACTGTGACCTGGGAAAGTGGGCATGGATCAGAGTGCTCCATGTAATCGGGCTGAGTTTAGATGGGTGGGTGGGTTTGTAATCAGCAGAACATCTCACAAGCTCTGAATCTTGGCAGGTTTTAAACTCAAGAGAACCTAAGGATGGTTTCGTCTGAATTTTCATCGTGTGTTTCACTGCGTGCCTTGGTGCTCCCTGTCATAGGTCAGGGTTGTTCAGCCTCTTTCAGATGGGCTTTGTCACAAGCTACTTCATCTACTTCTGTCTTCTGTGGTGCTGCTGGACCTTGCCATTCAGGAAGAATGAAAGGAAGAAGATGCGGCGTTTCACAAACGCCTGTTAAAAGATTTAATGACTTCACAGATGTGTAGTGGAGGCTTTGGAGCACTGAAGCTGGTCGCTAGGAACTGGTGATCAGTCCTTGCAGCCACATAGAGATCTGGCACTTCATTGTTTCTAGTGATGATGGCTCTTTCCACATCCAGAATGCAGCTTTGGCTGCAGATGCTCAGAAACGATCAGGGTCAATCAAGCCTTTACCTGCATGAAAACCAAACTGTGGGGTTTTTTTCCTTGTGAAGGGAGGTGATTTGTAGTTAAGGTGTATGTTTGTATCCTGTGTTTGTGGTGCCCTGTTATGGGAAGGGTAGATGGCTTGAGCAAACTTGCTCTCGGACACAGCTAGGTCTGCAGCCTGTGCAGCTGCTGCTGGAGTTAGAAGAGGTAGAGGTGATAGTCATGGGGACTGCAGGGACCTGGAGGAGGTCCCAGCTAGCTGGTGGCAGGCAGGAGGAGGTAGCCTTGAATAGCTGGTTCTCTCAGGCAGCAGACTTCATGCCTTGTGGGCATCCAGAGTTTTGAAATACTCTCTTTTTGAGTACAAAAGTGTTTCTATCTCCAGACAACTCTAGTGTCCTGGGTATCTCTCAAACTGCAGAGTGCTCATCATGTCTCTGTGCATGTTTCACCAGGTGCTTTGAGGTAGACTGAGGTAGCTGGTCAGCTGTTGTGTATAATAATTTTAGTCTAAATCAATTCAGTCCAAAGCTATTCAGAATGAGCTTGGAGGAACTCAAAACAGTTCACCCATAGGAAATCGAAGTTGAAGCTGAAGAAAACATAAAAGGGAAATTTAAAGAGATTTCGCCCCCCCAGCTTTCTAGAAATTGGTAGTTGAGAGACTTCCCAAGCCTCAGCATCCTCAAACATGACTCTTTTGTGGTTACTAACATTGGAGGGTAGGAGCTTTTCCAGTGTTACTAGATCCAGTACGTTTGTATCACGCACATTTGGTTAATGAAGAAGTGGGCAAGTAAAGCTCTGCACAGAGCTGAGAGTTGCGTTAGGCTTTCCAAAAGTCTTATCTGTGAGCAGGAAAGCCCCCAAAGACTCTGTGTACAGGGCTTTGAGAAGAATATGGCCTTTATAGCCTCCATCTTGATGGTGTCAGAGAAGGAGGAGTACACATCTGTGTGCTCTGAGCTGGTGAACATTAATAGCTTTTGCTGAGCTGATTTTCTTGGGCCCAGTGGGTGTTTTTGCACTGTTGTAGAACCGGGTTTGGGGGCAGGGGGGAGTCAGACAAATCGTGTGAAGACAGAACGGCAACAAAAATGGTGCCTAAAACTGTGGCTGTCTTCTCAGATGAGGACGGTGGACGTGCAGATCTGTACACCACAGCAATCCGTCTCCTAGAAGTATGACAGTCTCTTCAGATGAGGATTCGCCCACAGTCAGACTCTGTTGTGGCTCCTACTATGGAGGACAATGAGCTTATGAATGGGATTATTTGACAGGGCAGAGTGAAGGCAGTTGTTCTCGCTTTCCTGCATTGGAGCCTGGCTGTCCTTACTGTAGAGACTTTTTTAACTACAAAACCAGAAGTTTGCAGGTTTCTTCGTAAAGAGTTGGAAAGGACCTGGGTGCCGAGCACTGTTTACTCTTACACAGACAAGCAGAGAAACAGTATTTTTTCCTGTGATTCACTAACTGCAATCTTCTGGCCTGTGATAATACTACTTTCACTGTTGGTTGTGTGTTTATACACTGTATGTAAAGAAAAATAACAGTACATAAACTTTTTTTAAATACTTGCATATGATTTCTCTGTAGAGTGATAGCTGATTGCCCTTGACTAGTGGAGCACAGACATTTGTCATGAAGTGATTAAAGGAACTTGCAAACAATACGGTTTCAGAAGAATTAAAATCATGGAAATGGTTTCAGTTCAGTATTGATGTTGCACCTTATTAATAATTTTCTCCTTGGGATTTAGGTGAAACAAAAATAAAGGCGCTCAAACATAGATGGAAGTTAAATGAATAAGCTTTTTGGCTGCTACACTTTCTGTTACATTTCCTTTCCTGTAAATCTCAGTAGCTTTTTCTTTTTAAGTCCTATTTATACTATTTTTGGTTCTTTCTGAAGACTTAAATACATTTTAGAATTTAATTTTATTGTACAAGAATCTTTTCAAGGCTTTTATTTCTGCTATATTTTTCTTCAGTTGTTCCATGTCTTTACAAAAGACAAACCTGCTGCTTTTTCAGTTCTCATTGGGGCTTAACCATGATTTTTGTGTTTAGGTGTTGACTTAATTTTGTTCACCTCGAGAGAGTGCTTTCATAATAATTCCTAGAAACACCAGTGTGTTTTAGAACAAGTCCATATCCAAAACATGGGATTTCTATCATTTCCCCATTTGCTTTGAGTGGATTTGTTTAATAGTATAGATTTTAAATGGTTAGTGAAACATCTGAGGTTTTTCTTGGCGTTTCCCTCAATGTATATTTGCCCTTCATGGAACAAAGGCTCGTATTAGATAAAGTATTCTCCAAAGCACTCATATGTGGCTGTAGCCAGCCAGCCTTCCTGCGTGCTTCTGCAAAACATGCTTCAGGTTCTTCTTAGCTCATAGTCCTGAACTTCTGTGCAGAAGTGCAAACATCCATGGATAAAGAGGATCGACTCCACCCTCTTCTTCACCAGCCATCGTCATCTGTGCTGGGAAAGCAACGAGGAGCCTGGTTGAGACTAAGACCTGTGGGGAACCAGCCGAGAGATGATTACTCATAGAGTTTGTCTCTGTTCCCAGGCTGCCCTGGAGTTTGTCTCTGTTCCAGGCTACTGTGCAGCTGTAGAAGGTGCTGCCAGGCAGATGAGGGAGATGTCATCCAACTTGGTTTGGCCTATGGGGCTCTAGGGTGAATTTAGGCTTAGTCTTAGAGCTTACATGGGGAAGGAAAGTGTCACCTAGAGCTTTGCTACTGCAACATTGTGACCTGTTCCCTGTTCCACTGCACATTTCCTGAAGGAACGTGAAGGAGCAAACCCCTTAGGTTGCTGTGCCACTAAATGGAAGAGGGCCAGGAAGCAAGCATGGACCCTGAACTGCCAGTCACTTTTGCTGTTGGGTCTGGTACAGCTGTGGCCTCTGCCAGGTTGTACTCTCCAAAGACAATGCTGGGACATGACTGAGAGGGTGCATGCACCAGGATCCATTCGCAGTTGGCAGTATGGACAAAGCATCACTGTATTTGACTCGTCCTTGCTAAACAGTCATCCAAAACTGACCCAGTAGCATTGTGCCTTCAAGCTACATCCCAGAGAATGCACTCTGGGATCCCACTTCAATGGGCTGTAGCACAGCCTTCACGTTATCTCTGGTATTTTGAACCGAAACCCTTCCCTTTACTGTCAAATAATCATGTATAGGGCCACAGGGTTGCTGCATGTGGGCCGGAGGAGATTCAGGGCCAACTGCTGTGCAGCGTGGAGGAGGCCTGGCCAGGCAGCTTGGCCTCAGGTACAAAGAACAGTCCTTGACCCATTTTTTTGTAGCAGTAGAGCTCTAGCTGTGATCACGTAGCACCGTTGTTCCAAGCTCTTAAAATAGGGATAATAGTTCAGTTTGCCAGTGGCGCCAAGAATCAGAGAAAAAGCAGATACCATCCAGAGGTCAGCCTGGATGCACATGGTGACACCTCTTGTACTTAAAATCCTGAGCATCTTCTTAACCTTGTTACTTGAAAGTAAGTCTCCTGCTGATTACTCATTCTGTGTTGTGTTTTCTCAGTGCATGCCTTTGCTTGCAGATGTGGTTCAATCTTTTAGAGAACATTTTGACCTCCACAGCAAAATTTAAGCATCTGTTAGCTCAAGACTAAACTGCAACTAAACTGATTGCATCTATAAGCTGTGTGGACAGTTTTATTTTGGAGTAAAAGTGCTTTATCTTGATATACCTTAAGTCAATAAAACGCCCTTTGTGCTTTCGTGAAGCCAAGGAGGAGGAAAGATTTGCATACAACACGATATTATCACTGCAGTTGTCAACTGTTTTCTTTAATGGAAATTTAAATTAGATTGCATAAATCAGTTTGTCTTAAAAATCCTTGCCTCTCTTACATTTTAAAATCAAATTCAGTTTTACTGCTGGCATCACACTGCTCTAGAAAATTGTTAAGGGGTAGTCGCTTGTTAATTTAGAAAGAGAGAAGGCTGTGCGGCTCAGACCTTTCATTTGCAGGATCTGCTCAGGTCCCTAGAACAGCATCTTTCCTGAAGGAGAGGTCTTTGCAATTGTGACTTGTTTGTTTGAGACACCGTTATTCTAATTCTATTTTTAATATGTTTTCAGATATTTTAGGGGAACTGTGTTGAAGCCTAAAATAGACTATCCTGCAGCCCTTGCACAAAAAACAAATATGAAGCAAATGCTAGAACGGCTCCCAAATGTATCATATAAACTTCTTCACAACTGTTTAATAAAAATTGTATGAGAAAAATAAAGATACTCAAACATTTAATTATTTATTTTGCCCCAAACAGGTTAGGTGGTGGTCCTGATGATGCCAAGGAGATTATGCAGCACAAGTTCTTTGCTGGCATTGTTTGGCAAGATGTATACGAGAAAAAGGTACTTGTACAACTGTTCTCCCAAAGTGAATTGTAGCTGTGGGTATACTGAATGTTCCAGATTTTGTTACCCTGTGTAAGGTACACAGAAGCCCTCCGTGGAAGAGGTTTGCAATTGTTTTTAACAAGGCTGAATTGCTTCATGATTCTTAAAATACTGAAATTGGATTACTTGTGGACCAAAGCTTTTTTCCACAATGAGAGGAGTCTCTCTCAATGAGATACTTGTTTCTGTGACTGAATAAATAGGATGTAACCAAAATTGCTCCTGAATTTAGACAGCATAAAAGCTTTTAAAATAGCTTTTCCTTTGAATTCTTTTTGTCATTCCTTGCTATCAACTGACATATCCCTTGCAAGTCCAGAAGTTACTGTTGGTTCCTGAGCATCTGGAAGCAAAACTTCATAGAGGCAGTAGTGGAAGACAAGTTGGTTGTTCCTTTTGCATTTTTCCTGTCTTTAATGATGTAGTTAGACTGAGTTAGGCAAGTGCAGAGAAGTGTAGACTCTTGCATCGATCCAAGCCTAGTATTTTTTTTTTGGTAACAGAGGGCTGATGTGAAGTGTCTGCGCTTCATGGTGTTTCTCATTGATTTTCCTTGAGACCCACTGAGTTTGTAGCTTTCCAATGGGAGCCACTGAAGTCAAAGAGCCCAGCCCTTTCCATATGAGTGTTTCATCAGTTGTCTATGGCTCACTGTCCCTTCGTCCACAGATAACTTATTCCACTCCTCCAAGATGCCCTGCTTCGTGCTCTCAGGGTGATCTGCTGTTGTCCTCTCCCATTTGATTCTCACCAGCCACGTTTTCCATAACGCTCAGGTGAAATGCAGCTAACTGGAATGTGGCTCTGGTGATTCAAGGCTCCCATCTACTGGCGCCACAGGATCTCACTCAATTCCAGCCTTTCCTGATTTCCCTCCTTCTCCCTGCAGCCTCTCATTTGATCTCTAAATATGGTTTAGTTTTCCCTCTAGTTAGCAGGAGCAGGTAAGAAGCTCAGCAGAAACTGAGTTTTAATTCTGTGGATTCTTTTGGTAAAACTAATACAGTGATCTATTAGTAACGTTTGTATTCTTAAAAAACATAGACCATAACACCACTGGTTTCCATACCATAGTGGGAGAATTGTCCAGTGCCTGTATACAATTACAGAGTGCTCTGTTTCCTTCTCTTCTTTCACTTCCTCACAGATTTGTGTGGCTAAAGGGAACTGAAAAATCATAAAATAAGTTTTTGTGCCTTGAAAGTGTAGATACAGTTTAGACCTCTGTCCTTTCAAAGCATCCCTTGAGAGAGGGCTGTGTGTGGCCATGAGGGCAGGAGGGAGTTACATGGAGTTTATTCCGTATAACATAAAAAGTGTATCTGAATTTATTGTTCTGAACAAGAGGTTACCCCCATTTTCACCCAGTTGGCAAGCTGAATACTTGGAGTTTTGCTATTTTTTTGAAGTTTAAGGTAAAAAGTTGATAACAGAGCTCAAATGACTTCAGCGAAGTTATTTATTATTTGATGGTAGTCTCGCTTCCCTGAAGGGAGGAGAAATCACAGAAGCTGGAGGCAATTTATTTATCCATTGGACTGAGAAAGCCGTCATGAATTGTCCTGACCCAGATTGTTGTGGAAACTACCAGGAAATTCCAAATGTTACATGTTTTGAAGAAAACAGTGTGCCTAACAGAGACTATTTCTGACCTTGGCATATCCAAGGAGACTGGATTCTGGCTTTGCTCCTGTCCCGTTAGCATGTGCCTCTGGAATTGGATGTAAACCATTACCTGCTGTAGAAATAGCTATGTTGTGCAGATGAAGAGATTTCGAACAGCCCGTGAGTAATTGCTGCCTACGTTCTGAGTGGTCCGAAGAGAATCTTGCAGCGTTTACCCGAAATGTAGTCTCACAGATAAAAGCTGAGTTTTGTCAGCTGCCTGAGGTGTTTGTGTGCTAAGCTTGGTTACCCGCTATCTCCAGATAATGCGGAATATGTTTATGAATATAGGCTTGGGGTAATCGAGAACGCTTGCTTTGTAATTAAGCATTTTGGAAACATAGATTTGCTTTGAATTATAAGGAGTTTTGAATAACTGGGGTTGTACCAAGAATTCAAAACGTTCATTAGACTCTCCTGAAAGTGTTGTTATTTGTCTCTGGTGCAAAAAAAAAAAAGGTGCAATTTAATTTGCAGTATTTTGCCTACCCACAAGCGAAATGTACACAAGGAGGTTTTCATCACATGGGATTTTCTGGTCGTCTTTGTCTCTTAAACCAACATAAGCCCGCGGGTATCATGCTGGTCTGCAGCAGTGGGAGGCTACAGGTGGCACCTCTGCCAGTTGAGCTGCAGAGCTATTGCAGTGACAGCTTTTCAGTAAAGCAACATATTTGCTTGGTAAAGCCAGCGTTAGAGCTGTCTGCGGCTTCCCCTCTGTTTCCAGCTTAATGTTCTGAATTTGACAGCTGGGGGGGGAAATATTGTCTTGTGGGTGCATCATAATCTGTCTCGAATTGCTTTTAACAGATACTCAAAAAAAAGGGAAAATGATACAGGCAGCGGTAGCCCATTACACGTTGTGTTCTCACCTAGGACTGGTGCTCCGAGTCGTTCTGATGAGCACAGTTCAGGTGTCTGCTGCAGTGCCCAAGGCCTAAACCCCTCTGTGCTGCGCACAGCAAGCGAGAGCAACTGGGAGCACCGCGAGTGCCAAAACCCCCGTTAGCCTAAAAGGACAGACAGAACCTCACCCGCGCGCGCACAACTTGTCCAAAACAAACCCAGGTTCGCTTTAAGGAGCAGGCAGAAAACTGCCACAAGGAGGAGGAGAATAGTTAAAACGTGAAAGAAAGAATGCTCATCCTCAACAGGATTTTACACATAGTGTGTTGGTGTGACTTGATTGGGAAGAGTGTTAATAACATTATAATGAGAAGCATTCTCTGGTCAATAGCTTCAGGAGGACTGGAAGGCTCAGAGTGACTTGGGACTTGGGATATCCTGTTTCCTTTTTGTGTCTAAATTTAGCACATAAAGACCCAATCGAAGGACTTACCTTTTTTTTGACAGGAACATTTGCCAGGTTCCTTTAAGCCATCCTTGGGCACAGACAATCATTAGTAGCCTGATCTTGAGTAGCCTGATCTAGTTGAGAGGTGTCCCTGCTCATGACAGGGAGGTTGGATTAGATGATCTCTAAGGTCCCTTCCAGCCTATGCCATTCTATGATTAGTAATTAACAAAAAATTATGATGAATGTATACTATAATTGTGTTCTCTTACAATAAACTGAATTTTTATGTCCCTTGATTTTTTTAAAATTGGTTTTAAACTGTAGAATGTTTCTTAGTATTTGGAAATGCCACCATATGTGTAGATTACACTTCTTACAGTCTTTACATGAAAAATAGAGGAGCTTTATTGAGTCATTGTTTGAGAGACAGGACAACACTGTTAGGTGCTCTCGAGACAGACCAGAAAGATGATCCTAACGATAGGGAGTGTGAAGCTAGAGCTTTTCTTATTAACTGACTTGCCAAGCAAATGATTCTTCAGATCTAAGCTGGAGGAGAAGTTGGGGATGAGGAAGAGGTGTTTTGTACACCCGAGATTTGCTGGTGTTTTCCAGGGAGTCATTTCTGTCGGTGGTGTTCTTATTTCTGTAAAAGCCGAAGTGCAAGTCTCAGGTTCACTGCTTAATTCCAGTTGGAGCAATTTTCCATTCGCCTTGACAAACCGTTCCCTGCAGTTTCAGATTGGAAGCCGTACACTTCCTCAATCACGCTCCTGAATTGTTGCCTGGTGTGGCTCTGTGCTATTAAAAGATGGCCATGCTTAACCCCAGTGGTGGGCGAACCGAAGCCCAGCGCTGAGAGCTATTACATGCCCTCTGTGGGAGGGCTAAGAACAGTGTTTACATTCTGTTTCTGCCACATCGTGCAGCGTGGAGGTGAGCAAGGCCTGAATCCCAGCTCCGTTGCCCTCCAAAATTGTACGTGTTCCAACTCTGTGCATCAGCTCCACCACCCCGCTTCCCAGGCGTGCTCCTCTTCCAGCCCCAGTCAAGCAGCTCCGCTCCATCTGGAGTTGCTCTTGCCAGAGCTTGCCTAGGTACACATGGATGATTTCTAGCCTCTCTGCCTAAGCGAGTGTCAAGAACGAAACCCAAATAGTACGACTCATGATACAACAAGAGGAGAACGTTCACCGCTAAGCATCCTCGATTTTTTGTAAACGCTCCAGATTTTCTAAGTTCAGAGTTCGTGTCAACCTGCTTTTGGGGACAGGGGAGTGTAATTGCTTAATGTTGCTGCTGCCCTGTCCTGAATCCTCCCAGGTTGGCCCGACCTACAGCACAGTTGCAGTCAGAGCTGCACGGGCACAATAGTTCTGCAGGTGAGGTTTTTTGTGAGCGTTACAACCCTTTTGGTGATACGCAAGTCTCGCTGATCAGTTTGATATCACTGAGCATCTTACTCATGTTCATCCTCCTCAAGCGTAAATCTGACTAGATGCAGTTGACAATTTCCATGTAAGTTGGTGGAGAACCAGTATAAGCTATTTATTTTTAAACATTTGTAAGTGTGTTATGTAATACTTGAAGAAATGTTAGGATTTTAGGTTTTTCCTTGTGCAATTAAATCCTAGAGACAAAGTGCCTTAAATGGCCCATGAATAGGAAGTTCACACCTAAATAAATACTTTTTGTTGTACTGTATATGGTTCCTTGTTTATGAACTGGTGTTTTTTAAACTTATTTTAGGAATGTAGGAAGAAGCACTGTAGCTTGTAAATCTATTTCAAATTCTACCTATTTCAAACAAGAAACTGCAAGAATCTGTAAATGGACAGTTGTTTTTTTTTTTTCTTTCATAGCTTGTACCTCCTTTTAAGCCACAAGTTACATCTGAAACAGATACAAGATACTTTGATGAAGAATTTACAGCACAAATGATAACAATCACTCCTCCTGACCAAGGTAAAGTTTTCCCAAATGTTACCCACTATGTTCTTCAGACAACCAGACGTGATATGCTGTAATGTTACCTTTAGTCTCTTTAGACCATGTGAAAAAGCATCAGTTCAAATTTGCGGGTTTTCCATGTATGTATTTGACCAAGAAGCTGGTAAAGTGATGTGAAACTTTGCACGTCTTTCCAGTTTGGGAAATGAAAAACTTGGTTTAGAAGATAGTGAAATTATTTCTACTGTTGTCTTTTCCAAATCTGCACATTTCCACTGGAAAATAATTCTGTTCATGAGTTTTGGATGTGTAGATCTACACAAACACAGTGTATGTGTGATCAGTCAATTGAGTATGGACTAATGTCCATATTCAAACAAAAAATATTTTATTTTCATGGTAACTGAGCATGTTTGATGCTCTGAAATAGCAGTTGCCAGAAATTCAGAGTATAGATTTAAGCAATGCAGCTCCTAGCAATTTTAAATGGACATCGAACAACTGTTTACATACAACAATCAGGATCTTCTGTGATGGCCATTTATTGGGGTGAGATTTAAGACTTCTTGTTTCTTTGTCCTTTCAAGTTGTGGAAGAAAAAGGCGACAGTGAAAACTTTCTGAAGTAACTTTACCGTGCGTTATCTTAGTTTGTTTACTTTAAAAGGTAGTGAAAATTGTCTACTGTTTTTTTTTTCATTTTTCAGATGACAGCATGGATTGTGTAGATAACGAGAGAAGACCTCATTTTCCTCAGTTCTCCTATTCAGCCAGTGGAACCGCTTAATGTTTTGCAATGTTTTCCCATTCAGAAATAAAACAGACTGCATTTTGGGGACCTTACTTCAATGGACACTAGAGAACTTTCTATATTATCTGAATTACAAACTGTGTTTGTATTACGATTTAGATGAATTTGTAGGAAGCCTCACAGATTCTGTATTTAAAACAATTCTTTGATGCATTTTTGAGAAGGAAAACAAATCCATTCTTAAAGTATTACGTCAAGGCTTTTATGCTGAATGACCATAGGTTTTTAAGAATATACACCAAAACTGTTTACTTTAGAAATAATTAAGGTATTCAACATATCAGCAACTCTGACCAGAAAATCCCCTTATTTTATTTATTTCATACAGTTCATTATCTAAATATAGAATCTGCACTCTGAACAATTAGATTTATATAGGAAGATATAAGACTTTAGTAGCTAGTGCAATAATATAAGCAACAAAGTGAACAAACTCTGGAGGGTTAAGGTTCAAACTCATTTTGGACAGCAGCGAAGTGTCATCCAACTCCAGAAAACCAACTATAGGAACAGCATTAATGGCCTCAGTGAGGTAAATCAAAAAGCAAAAGTTATTTTTGTTATAACATCTGCTACAAGACATTACATATCAAACTGAATCCAGCGAAATCGCCACCTCGGACAGATGAGTATTCCATTCTAGACAGCGCATTTAATTATTCCATTTGCGTAGAGGTTAGGAATACTTCATAGGATTGGCTTCTCAGAACCTAGAAAATGCTTGATTTACCAATCTAATATGAAATGCAACGACTCAAAATCACACACTTTGACCACTGTATAAAAATACCATACAGGTCTGCGTGAGAAATCATCTTAATGAGCGAGTCAACAGACAAAAGTACATTTTGGCACTGAAGTAATGACTTGTTGCCGCTTTTTTTTTATGAAAAGGTATATGAATATATATAAACACTTAATGATTTTTTTGCATCGTGCCAGATCATTTCTTCTTTCTTGAGTGTGCATTAAAGGTATCAGCCAACAGTTCATGGTGCCTTCTCACTCTTGAAGATTCACTTTAACAGTGTTTCCCATGTATAAGAAAAAAAATAGGTTGAAACTTCATATGTGTTTGCATAACAATGGTGTTCAAAAAGTGAATTTTTTTGTTTGTTTTTCATTTTTAATCTTAGTGGAAAATTCCCCACACCCTATTTTTGTTGTGTCATGTTTCTTTGTAATTTTCATAAAAGCAGTCTTATTCTGTCTCTGCTGCGAATGAATTTATTCCATTGTAGGTTGCATTCTCTTAAATTGCTTTTTTTTGTTTTTCATTCTCTTGACTGTATAAAAAAATGACATGTACTGCAGTTAACTAGCATTTGATTTTTTTATTTGAAAGGGAGTATGTTATGAAAACCCTCGCTTCCCCTTTCCATCAGAAACTGCTGTGTTTGCACAGAGAGCCCATCATCTAGACTTCTTTTTTTAACAACATTCAGTTCTAGTATTTTTACTCATGATATGAAAGTTTCCCTCCAAATACTTAAATAAAAATTGCTTTAACAAGTTAGGTTCTTATTTCTTGTGGTAGGAGCCTTCCGAATTTGTAGAGATGCAACAACTGCTCCAGTTTCTCGAGTCTGATGTTCACATGGCTTTTCTGCCCCTTCTCAGTTGTTTCATCTCTGTACTGATCATTATGCAAAGATAATTTTGGAAAATGTTTGTTAAGAGAAATACACCCTGTGCCAGAAATAGTTTGTCTTGAGGTGAATGAGGACAGGCCTTATTTTGCTGTCGTCCTGATGCCAGTGAGATTGTGTTACTGAGGCCTTAATCTTCAAAGGTATTTCTATTCCAGTCACTTGGGCCAGTGGACAACATAGAATAACTGCGTTTCCTTTCTAGAGACTAATATTAATGACTTCTAGGAGGTAGTTACACAAGGCTGGAATGTCCTTTTTCAAACAAGAATACAGAGAAAAATACAAGGATGTCCAAGAACAACTGCAATAGGCTTCAAACTAAGCACAGAAGTTGCAACTGTAGTAAGCCATTAAACATCCAAAACATTTTTTGGTTCAAGGAATAAGCTGTAATTCCCAGCACAATTTACTGGACATTGTATGCGAGGAGGGAAGGTGAAAGAAGGGATCTGTGTCTCTGTAGAGACTGATGATGGACAGCCTGTCCCATTCTGCAAGTCTGATCTCCTAACTGCTCACCTTCCTTTGCTTCCAAGCCTTCATCCGAGTTTCCAGCCAGCGCAGGGACGAAGTCCAAAGGACTCTTCTGCAAGCCTACAAGCCCCGACAAGTTCTGAACTAGCACACTTCATGCATCCAAATATAGACAACATGAATGAGCAAAGGTTACCATAATGTGCCCCAGGAAAATCTGGTCTTTCAGATGCAGGAACAGACATGGATCGGGTTGTTCTGTTGAGGCTGACTATGTCTGAGAACCATATTTTTCTGCCAGTTGTTGCTAATGGATTTTTGGTTTAATTCCCATATATAAAATGGAACTTAAGCTGCCAGAAAAGTCTGGGAATCTTGATATTGTTAGCACCAGTGAGCTGTGAGGGCCACACCTGAATGCAGGGTCTTTTGGGTATTTTCCCTCATTTGCCTGTGATTATTCAAAATGCCTTGCCTGTCATCTATAATTGAATGATTACCGGCATTACAGCTGTCTACCTGCAAACATAAAATGTGTTTTTGATTTACAAAATTTTGTAAATTTTGATTTAGCACAGAAAATCCTCTCACAAAAGTCAGTGACCTTAGTGCCGTTCACCTCTGACTGCTTTTGTGCCACATATGCAGAGACGGCTTAAATCTTGCACGATCCTTTAGCTCTTCTATTTGAAAACCTAAAACTTCCCTAATTATCTGTACAGCCAAAACCTCCTCATTCTTCCTTCTGGCATTGACAAATGTCATCTTGCTCTGGTGTTGTAAATTGCAGCAAAGATGGTGCATGCCAAGTGCGGAACGCTGGTAGCGTGTGTATGTTCCAGCCCAGGAACTTGGTTGTAAGCTCAGGTTGGGAGAAACACAGAAAAAAAACCTTTGCAGTTCTCTGTGTGCCTCTGACTGCAGTCAGAAGATGAGGTCAGCTGAGCACTGGTTGAAACAGATACACAGCTGCTTGTGGTGTTTGGGGTTGAGAAGCCAGGTAATTCTGCAAATTCCATTTTATATTCTCTTCTGTAACTAAAACATCCAGTACAATCCCATTAGGATATTGCAGGCTCTTCTCCCTTTAAACTGGGTGAAGGTCACTGTGGTTTAGAGCATTCCCAACTCTGCACAAAGTGTGACCTCTCAACCTCCACAATAAAATAAAAATGCTCTTAATCTTCATTTTTCTTTCTACACTGTCACCCCTCCAGCAGATAACCTCCACATGCTCTCCAGCTGCTGCCCTGCTCTCAGGCAGGCCTCAGATGTCTTGGCTGTTATTTGAATTTGTTCCCAGTTTTCCACCTGAGAAACAAATTATAATAGTTTTTGGAGGTTTGAGGGTAAAAACTTTCCTTGATTGTTTGAATTGGATGACCTTTGCTTTAACTGGAGGTGAATTTTCTTGTCTGCTACTTTGGATGGCTTACGTGTGTTAAATGCTCGGTACAAGAGTGCTGTATTCCTTATGCTCTGAAGTGTTTGTGTTTTTTCTAAATCTTTATCAGAGAAAGTCGGCTTTGCTTTCCAGAGAGGATCTGCTAAGTCAGATTCTGTCTCCAATAGCCAGATTTAGGACGGTGGTCCCAAATCAGAGCTATCACAACCTATAGTGGGAATGCAAACTCCAAGAAGATGGAGTTGCAGAAGAGAAGCCCACAGACGTGAAGTGCTTGTGAGAGTGGCATGGGTTTCCCTGCCTGAGAAGTTTGGGAAACTGTAAGTTAGGAAGAAGGTTTGATTTGTTTCACTGTATCTAAAATTAGAACTTCAGAGGTAAAAACACACTGGAAGAAATGGGCGTATGTAAAAGGATCTTGTTTCTTCAATGTTGCAAATGAGCGTGTTTGTCTTCCACTTTTAGCTCAATTTTCTTAATAACAGGGGGGTTAATTGCGACTAGAAGTAAAACGAGAAGAACACACAGTGCCTATAGCAAATGAGAGCTTATTATCCCCAATGCAGCTGAGTGTACAGACGTTTGGTAGCTCTGTCTAATGGAACATATGTTGCATTCTAATCAGGTGGTGACTAGTTGCTCTGCCTCTGAAATCATTTTAAACAAAACCATTTTGTTACAGTAGTCCCTGCAAGCCGCTTTTTTTTCCCCTTTTTGTCTTTTTAAGTTTTAATTTTTGTAACTGCTGGTCACCATCCTGGTTTTGTGAGCGTGGTGGGTTCTTTCTTGCGGATCAGATGAAGGACTTTATGTGTGAAAACACTTATTCTCTCTGCCGTTTGTCAGCGTGCGGGTAGCTCGGTTCTCAGTTTCTCCTTTGCTGAAGCACTGCTTCGCGGGGTTGTGTGCCTGTCACTGCTCACTACCTGTTTCTCTAGAGATGGACTTTATGAATTTCTTCCTGTGATGAATGTAACCTCGGTCTATGATAAGATTCCATTTTTATAAATTTTTCCATGCTGCTTCTTCATGTCTTCTGTCATATTACCATAACTGTATTTTGCATCTCCCTTAGGTCTTTGAGTTTCTTTCAAGAAGATAATGACAACACAGACGGCCGTTGCCATGTTTTCTGAATTCTGAGGGGCTCTCAAATTCCGCACGTTTTTAAAATAATACGTGACTTTCGCCCCACAGAAGATACTATAATTATTTCGAGTACAAGAGTGAAAATTCTTCACAGAAACAGAGGAGACACAATCCCTACCCCAAATGTTGTTATCTTTAGTTATTTGTAAACTCTACTATATCGATTTCCTTGCACTATTGTGTATTACAATACAGAAAACTGTTGTGTAGTACTGAGAAAACTTAGAACAAAAAATAGTGATTGTGGTCTTCAGCGCAGTGCCTGGGAATTCATTGCAATTGGATTAAAATGATCAGAAAATACATGCTGAAACATTATATTGTTTGGGGGGAAAAAAAGCAAAACTAGTAATATTGTTCTTCCTTTGTCGTACTGAAGTACAGCGATTGGACTCCTTTGGGGGAAGTCTTGCTGACCATGCTGGGAGCAGGGACCCTAGGCTAGACCATCTCCAGAACTCCCTGCAAACCTCAGCTGGTTAATGAGTCTATCTAATGATTTAGGTCCTGGATTTGAGAGCATGTGCTTTAGTGAAGGAGGTTCCTCACGTGTGTTTTTTTTCTGTCATCTCTGGTACGTGTTTATAACTCTAGACTAACACAACCTGTCCACTACTTTCATACAGTCTATGTGACTCAGCACCAGCCTTGCTTCAAGATGCTTCCAGTAGTACAAATCCTGCATTTTTCTCATTTTCTTTTATGTCATTGGCCCTGGTCATCCCAAGTTCACTGCACTTACTGTTTTGAGCAAAGTATATGTATTCCCTGGAAGTGTTTTAAGGCCAGGTTGGATGAGGCTTTGGGCAACCTGGTGTAGTGGAGGGTGTCCCTGCCCATGGCAGTGGGGTTGGAAATAGACGATCTTTGAGGTCCCTTCCAACTCTAACCGTTCTATGATTTGTTAAATTC